AAAGTCTGATCATGTCTACTTTCTTTTAAAGAAAGTCAATTTTAAAACTTCAACAGACTAGACCTAATTCGAACATCAAGTTGATTGGTGTCTAATTTTTAAAATCTCTGCCCACTTTCAAAGATTTTTCAAGTGGATATTGGAGAAGACAAGAGAAGGTAAACTAACCTTTAGGATGACCTCACAGCACAGTCCCACTTGGGACCTCTCTTGTTTTCAGAAATGGACAAAGGTAAATTTTAGATCAGGCATAGTCTGATTGCCCAGGTGCATCAAACTGACGATGCTAAGTTCAAAAGTGTATGTTTTTTAAAGATTTAGTCTAAAAATATTGTGAACACTTTGATTACTACCCCAATGTTTATGCAAAATATAGTTTTTGAGAGTAGTTTTGAACAGTTTCTTCCAGGTACTGTAAATTTCCCTTTGGACTAACGTGTGTAAAGGCTGCAGTTCAGAAGAACTTGGTCTTTCCCAGCCTCACTTGAGGTTGATAGCAGTGGCCAGCAGTTCACGCAGTGAGGCCATATCCCACAGCAGTGAATACCTAGGGACCAAAGGGTGAGGGCTTGACTGCTTGCAAGTAGTGTAATGGAAGAAAGTGCCACATTGGAATGTGAAATTGTCATAGAACCTGTAAATCCTAAGTCACATTCGTGTGTCCAGCTCCCATTGAGTTTTAGGAAAATAGCAGAGGGTAGCTTAGGTTTAATATCTACTTAAACTTGAAACACTGAATAGAATTTGATGGTTTAATAAATTGTTGATACGTTTGAACCAGGATTACTGTTTGAACTCCTAAAACATTAAAATTGAAACATGCTTAACAAGTAGGAAAGCATATATGAAAAAAGAGTTTAAAGACCTGAGCCTCTTTTGTTAAAAATTAAAATGTTTCAAGGACTATACCATCTAATGATTATTTATTGTAGTCTTTGTTTGGAACCCCCCCCCCCCCCACAGGATTTTCAGCCTCTGTGGTACATTTGAAAGTCCTCTCTACCTATTAAATATTAAAAAGTGGTTTGAGGAATTCAGACCTGTAAAGACAGTTTTCATCTTAGTCGTATTAAGCACATTCCCTAATTCAACTATAAGACACTTAAAACTTTTTACAAAAAACACTCAAATGGAATAGGAATGATTGTATTACTTCTCTGTGCTCTGTCAGGGTCTTTTATTTGACATTGACATTTATTTGACATTCAGATATTTTTCTTGGTATTTAAAATTTTGTGCTTTAACAGACTTAGCAACTTTTTACAAGTTATTTTTGTTTGAATTGAATAGGGCACAAAATTACTAGAAAGACTTTTTCAGGAACCATAGAGATCTGTTCCAAAGTATAGAAAACTAGATGCCAGTATCATCTATTGGTTAAATGTTGCTTGACAGATCCAACCCACTGCTTGTTTTTGTGTGGCCCGTACACGAAGAATGATTTTTAAGTGTTTGAACAAAAATCAAAAGAACAACAGTATTTCATGATATGTGAAATTGTATGAAATTCAAATTCCAGTACCCATAAATAAAGGTTTATTAGAACATAGCCACACTCAATTGTGTACCTATTGTGTAAGGCTCCCTTCAGGCTACGACGTCAGAGTGGAGTAGTTGTGACCGAGACTGTGGCCTGCAAAACCCAAAATACTTAGTATCTAGCCCTTTTCAGAAAAAGTGCCTAACCCTGGCTTAGATGATACCTAACGTTCCTTTCTGTCTGCTTTCTGTGACGTGCACTCTAGGATTGAGCAGCCACTTGGAAGATTTTAAATGTGAGCAGAGCACAATTAGGGAGTTAAACGTTTCCCAGGCTTAGAGCACAGAGGAGTGAATGTAGATACATAGGAGAGGAGATGTGAAGGAGAACCTTTGGAGGCAAGAGAGGGGGGCGGCTGGTTTTGTTGCTGTGTACCAGAGTCAGGTATTAACAGCTCCTTCTGCTGGAGAGGAATAGAAACACTGTGAAGATGAACTATATGTTGTGTATGTTCGGTCTCAGTAACATGAGAAATAATGTAGTTGAAACCTTCTGTAGCTGACTAGCAGCAGAGAACGGATACTCTGTCTCCATTTCTGACAATACTATAGGGATAATGCAAAATTATCATCTCCCTATTAATTCTCCCCAGTCACCATATGTCTCAGATTCTGATATCTGTCCATCCATTTTCTAGAATGTTTTGATCTTCCGTTTGCATCACTTTGACTTCCAGTCCCTCAAAGAATTTGTTTGACTTGTGATTGTCGTCTCTTACTTGCTTGGTCCGTACATGGGGAGTACATAGCACGAGTTGGCTGTAGTCCTTTTGAATGTTAAAGATAATACCTCACACCACCTAGAAATTTGAGTGGCTCTGTCTACGTGGAGTGGTGTGCAAGTGTTTGACTGCTTTTGGTGGGGAGGATGCAGGGCAAGGAGACCTTGCGTATTATTTTACGTCTGGACAGATGCTCCCACGCAAACATGTACAGTCTCCATGGTCTCCCAGTATTGCCAAAAATTTGTTGCTTAGTTTTCTTTTTTAAGATTTTATTTTTCCTTTTTTCTCCCCAAAGCCCCCCAGTACACAGTCGTGTATTTTTAGTTGTGGGTCCTTCCACTTGGTGGCCTGTGGGATGCCACCTCAGCATGGCCTGATGAACGGAGCCATTGTCCACGCCCAGGATTCGAACTGGTGAAATGCTGGGCCGCCAAAGCATGCGAACTTAACCACTCGGCCATGAGGCCGGCCCTGCTTAGTTTTCTTAAAGGTTATATTTCCTTGGAAGAACAGTAAACTTGCTACTGTAACCCACGTTCAGTCTACTGTTCATTTTCTGAATGAAGAGTAAAGGAACTGAGTGTAGTTTTGGATGTTCTGCTTTTCAGCAACTTTAGATTGTTGGTGTGCTCCTTAAGGGTCTCAGCTTTCCTTGGTGAACTGGCATTTGTAGTGGTAAATGCTCTTTAACAAATCCATGTGCTGTTCTTTTTTATTCTCTGATCCACTGAGGAGTCATCTTTACTGTCAACTTTATTTGTCCTAATTTTAAGCAGCAGCTTCTCATTTCCATAGTCTTTGATTTTGGAAAGTCCGTATTTGCCTGTAGAAACCATGTTTTATAAACTTTGCTTATGTTCTAGGTCTTCTCTTTCAAATTTTGAAGAGTTAAATTTTATTTTTAATTTTTACGTGGCAACTTATTTTTCTGTTCACATTCTTGATAGAGGAGACCTTTTGGACATCTTCACTTGTGATATCTTCTGAAAATGAAATACACCATTTAAAAAAACCATCCAGCCTGTATACTTACTTGAATGTTATGCTTCAGTAACATTAATATTAAAAAATCAAGTATATGATCATTGTATACACATAATTAATGTAATTCACTCTGCCAAAACTTTGGTGTTTCCTTTCTATTTAATTCATATATCAAAATAAAAATATTATGAAATTTCTGGAATAATATTCTTCAGAATTCACAGCCATAAAGTCAAGTGAAAATGTCAGTTTTAGTCCCTGAAAGTCCTGTACACAACTGCCTTATATTTTTAAGGAAGTAGTGTTGGTTTCTGTGATTCTCAAGTCTGTGTCTTCTGTATCTGACTACATTGAGTTAGGCTTTCACCTTTCCTAGGAATGTATAATACATTTCTTTACCTCATGCTTTAAAAGGCGAAGACGTGTTGAGTGATTGTCCAAACATAAATAGATTTTTTATTTCGGAAGTTGGAGCTTTATGAGTGTGACGGCTGGAAATATGAATGCAAGGCTTATTGTTATCTTTAAAATGAAAAAACCCTATTTGTCCCTGATTCTGTAGTTTTCACTCTGAGATGTTTTTGGTTTTTTGCCTTAACATTAACATAGGAAACAAGCATCAGAGGTTCTGCATCGGCTATTTCAGTGACACAAAGGAAGGCCTGTATTTGATCACACCTCTGCTGTGTCTGTAGTGTAGCTTGCTGAGTAGGTATGAGAGCTCTCTTTGCTGCTTCTCCAGTTTCAGTTTATCAGCCTGCAGCTAACAACCTGTTTTGATTTTTTGAAGATTTATTTCACAGAGCAGTGTATTTTCTTGCCTTACAGGGGAGCTTCAACATGGAGTTGCTTTTGTTCCCTAAATTTTTATTGTTTCCTAATTAAGGTTTACAAGTTGACCTGGTTCGTTGATATTCCTCTTGCACTTACTCTGTCACCACCTCCTCCTTTAATCTGAGTCTCAGCTGCTGTAGAAGACATCAGACTCTTACTTGTTAGTGGTCATCAACCACATTAGATGATGTTGCTTCTTTTCAGTGGTAGGACTCTTAGCTTAGGGGATGAGTTCCTGGGACAGTATTAGAAGGTTTTTCACAGGAAACATCCCCTCAAATGCTCTAGAATGTCAAAATGTAATACTCCTGTAAGTTTTCCTCAGCACGCCCAAAAAACAACTCAGCTTTTCATATCTCCAGTCTAATGATAAGTTATTTTGATGTCAGGACATCCTTCTAAACTTCCACTTATAGTGTCACATGTGAGCATAAAATCTGGCTTGTTGGTAAGCCAATTACCTTTGTCTTTAGGAAGCCAATTTTTAAGAATGCCATGGACAATTTCAGTACATGTTTGTTTGTTATGATTTTACTCGAGCTAAAGGAATGGATTATTAAAATTAAGTGCAAATACTATAGAATTCAGTTTCAGGTTAAGTCTGAAGTTAGCATAAATTTAGGTTCTTCAGACTAACATAAAAAATGATTTTGAGAAGTTAAATAGGAAGATGCTTTTTTTAAAGTTTAGTATATTGATTTTTAAATTACTATCTCCCAAATCTTGCTTAGTAATCAAATGTGCATAAGAGAGAAGTTAGTTGGTGAGCTAGGATTGAGTAACTCCTTCTTTAATGAAGACTTGCTGTAAATCTGTATACTCTTGCATATCACTTTCAGATAGATAGTCAGTGCAGCAGGAGCAGAGACCAGGTGAAAATGCTAATGGGATGTAATTCAGTGTTTTTGTGTCATACAGCCTGAGAAATGCCAGTGGCCTGACAGCAGCAGACATTGCTCAAACCCAGGGTTTCCAAGAATGTACCCAGTTTCTCTTGAACCTCCAGAATTGTCATCTGAACCGTTTCTGTAATAATGGCACCTTAAATGGGGGCCATCAGAATATATTTCCTAATCATGTTAGTGTGGGAACAAATCGCAAGAGATGCTTGGAAGATTCGGAACCCTTTGGAGGAAAGAGAGCTAGAACTGAAGGTGAGAGCACTTTGTGGGTGGGAAGGAGCAGACTTGTTTCCTTTCTTTAATGTGTGTTCTTTCTTACGGCTGAAAGCACCTTGGAGATGAGACCTTCACTTAAGGAGGTACTGTGCCCCGAGGATTCTGGCACAGTGATGGTGGAGTTTTTCCCGTATTGCCACTTTGAAGATTGACCATTAAACAAAAGGGAAGGATATAAGAGGGCGTGTTGACAGCTCACATGTGAATGTGTATATATAACTTTCTGCACACCCAGGTTCATCTGCCATGAAATAGAAATATTTTTCTCATTTTTTGTACCTGTTCGAAATATAACTATTAAAAAAAAATCTGCCGCCGTGCCTGATTTTTTTTGTTTCCTGTACATCTTCCTGAGCTTATAAGAATTGTTGATCTGATAGTAAAACATAACTTCACATCTGGTAAGGTCGATGTTTGCTGTTCTCTTCCACTTGCACTGTCATTTGCCCTCAGCTGCTCTCCATACCCCACAGTGTAATATGTGTTTGTCCCAGCAAGATCTGATCTGTCAGTTTGACATTGAGGACTTAAGTCTCTAAGGTAAGTTATTTTAGCTTTAAGTATTCTTCCACCTTTTTTATCTTTAGTTAGTTTTGGAATTTGCACATAAGCAGAGTCAGTTAGTCACTCTTCCAAGTTGAAAAAACCTCCCTTACACCTAGGAAAAAAAATCACCTATGTATACCTGTGTATAAAATTTCTAATCAGGAGACAAATTGATAGCTTAGCAGGAATATTTAGCAAACTTACACAGAAACAGAAATTTAGACGTGACAGTGAAAAGTAATCACGCTGAGATTATGCATTCAAGATGTGCTGAGGAGAAATACAAAGTTGTACCTTTCAGTTTAAAAAAAAACCAATCAAGTATAGTATGAGAAAACCCTGGGTGGCTTGAGGTTTTCTTGGACTTTAAATTTGATGTTAGGTCAACATCCTCTTTTCAATGCTGTGCCTCTTTAAGTTGACTGCAGTGTATCCAAACGAAAACTTTTTTTTTTTCCTATCAAGTTGATAAAAAGTATGTTATCTATCTATGACTTTCAAATCTTGGTCACTATAAAAACTTGTGATTATGTGACGTTTTTGTAGAAATGAATATATGAACTTAAAACATACCAAGTTCATAAATTTTATAAGTTGCTGGCCTAATAATTTCTAGAAAGATGCTATAATAATTATAAGTACAACATGAAGGTGTGTCTAAAATTCAAAAGTGATGTTTTTTAATGGTGAAATATTGTTCAATGTTGTCATTTATTTGTGCCATGTTCCAATATATTTTTCTATTTTTTTTTTTAAGATTGGCACCTGAGCTAACAACTCTTGCCAATCTTTTTTTTCTTTCCTTTTTCTCCCCAAATTCCCCCAGTACATAGTTGTATATTTTAGTTGTGGGTCCTTCTAATTGTGGCATGTGGGACGCCACCTCAACATGGCCTGATGAGCGGTACCATGTCCATGCCCAGGATCTGAACCATCAAAACCCTGGGCTGCCAAAGTGAAGCGTATGAACTTAACCACTCGGTGACGTGGCCGGCCCCTCTAATATGATTTAAAAGCCCTTTAGGAGCATCCACATTTTTAAAATATTCTTTGTTTTATTTAATGCCTGGCTAATATTTTGGAATGGTATTAAGTGTCAGCTTTATTCTGCTCTCCTGCAAGAATTATGTATGTGTCCCTGTCCAGTATGTTAGCTTATAGAATGAATCATAACTTCTGTTTAGTTTTTTTAGAAGAACGTCACTTAACATTTTAGTAAGACTCAGAAACATACCTAAAGAGTTTTTGAGCTAGCCTCTTAAGGTCAGTTGAGTTGGCCAATAACTCATTGTTTAAGTATCCTGAAAAGCCTTTCCAGGGATTCCTGAAACTTAAATTTCAGTGTCCTAAAGTCTGTACTACACACACATTTTGAAGAATCATGCAGATGTTCCGGGGGTTTTATTTTCCTCCTACAGACAAGTATCTGTTTTGGTTGACCAGAGCAAGGGGTGCGCACTTTGCTCGTTAAACTCGGCTTTCCCAAACTGCCCATTCCTGGTGCTCAGCCCGAGGCTGCTGGCTGATTCAGAAAGACATGTGGTTGGAGCCTGGCGTTTGTTTAAAGTTTGCGGGAATAATTAGGCAAAGCTCAGGTTGTGCGCTGCCCCACGCGCACATGAAGTGATAATGTTCTGTCACCGTCACAGGAGAAGCCTTGGACACTGATGTGCCTGACTTCACAGCTCCTTTTCTGGAATTCCTCGTTTCTCTGCTGAATGTTAATTATTTCCTCCCTAAACTTCCTAACACTCCTGTCCTGAGGTAGGGTGGTGCTGAGATTTGTCCCACGTGTCGCTTAGTGTGTGTGTAAATTTGTATTTGTGTAACCGTGGATGGGTGCCTTTATGCCATCCCCACCCTGGCCACTCTTCTCTTTTCTCTATGGGAAAGGAAGTGGTGATTTTTTTTTTTTTTTTTTACCATTATAAACTCCCTGTGAATTGGGATCTTGGGGCCAGGAATTCTTGATTATTAAAACAAGATTCTCCCCCACACACACAACTACCTGAATTTTCTAAATGAAATTCTTGGCTTCAAAAGATGAAGATATAGTTGTTTCCATTCTTTGACCAGTTTTTTAGTGTATACCTCAATGTGTGTTGCTTTCCTTCGTTGTCAGTTAATTTCTGGCATCGTCTTTTGATTTGCTGTTTAAATCTGTGAGCTTCAGTTTTTGCTCATTCTGAATTATTCATTTTGCAAGATAAGTTTTTCGTTCTCATGCTGAAGTAAAAATGAGTATTTTTTTCCCTCGTCTAACATATCCATATAAAATACTACTTGAATAACTTCATATGTGAAAGTATTTAGAAGAGTTTAAAACTGCCCCTTTTTTTGCCGTGTGAGTATGGCTTTTTTTCCCCACAGCTGCCTGGAATAATACCTTGGCTCATAAATGCATAACTTGGACCTTAGTGATAAATTTAGTCCATTCTGTCTTCCTAGAATTTAAGAATTAGACATATTGATGTTTTAAGTGTGGAATTTATAAAAGCAATTACTTCCAGAAATTTTCCTGGCTAAGCTAGCTCTTAGAGGTGTGCCCTGTAAAATTCACTCTTTAACTTTTTTTTTTTTTTTTTGCTTTAGAATCATGTCTGAGAGTTATCTGTTCTCCTTAGAAGGTAGTATCTCTCACTGCTTTCAATAAACTATTTTCAGATATTTTAAGGTAATTGGAGTGATTTTTCCCTTGGAAGCTGTATTGATACAGAAGAACTTCAGGGAGTAATAATGCCTTGGCGTTTTTGCACTGCTTACATGCAAACTCTCCTTTGGAAGCAAGTTGTGCTACAAAAATTCATAAAGTATCTTTCATGCAGTCATTCACACCAGTGTCAAAAGGTACTTTGGTCAGAACACAGACATAATAGATGTGACCACAAACTGTAAGGTGAAATCAAATCCAATTGAGCGGTTGATTTTGATGAAAAGTATTTTGAGCTAATATTTTCTCCAATATGGGATTTTGTTCATTTAGGGTGGTGTAAGGACTATCAGTCTATAATTAGGTTTTGGGTCCGTCCTCCCCCCCCCCCCCCAATTTATCAACCATTTGCTCAAGATGCAATGAAAGATGGACTTCAGCTGCAGCTGCTCTGTAAAAATTGGTTTAGGTTTGTTAGCATTGCTGGTTAATCTTCAGGAATAACTCTCAGTACAATTATCCATGTATAAGTATTCCTTGAAAACTTGGCTGAATTATCACTGGTCCTGGTTAGAAAAGAATGCCAGTCCCATCCTTGAGAAAAACCTTCATCTTGTTTTTACTCAGTGGTAGTTTTGGGTGCAGCTCCAGAGTCTTGATTAGAGAGGCATTGTGAGTTACAGGCTGACCCAGTAACCTACTATTTTGTTTTTGGGAGACAGTTTTAAGAAGTAGGCTGTGGTGATAGCAGAGGTTAGATGTGAAGTGGATTTCACAGTTTTGTTTTAATCCAACAGCTTTATTATTGATCTTAGCGTCTTGTACATAACATACAGGTATTTAATGTAAAAGCACCATTTAGGAAAAATATCTACAAGTTATGAGTCAGTTCAAAATTAACAGTGAGAAGTTTTTCAGCACACTTTTCCCAGGATGAATTTAACATAAACAGTCTCCACTGTGTTTCTAACTGTTGGTGTTGACCAGGCTTGCAGACCCCCGGGGGGTTGGGGGAGAGCAGAGAGCTGTGACTTAAGTGTATTAAATGATACATGTTAGCTAATTATGTAAAACATAAGATTCCAGAAGTCAGGTTTTTATTGTGGTTCCTGCTAGGTTCCATAGTATTACAGATAGATAAGACTAGCTTCTGGTGTCCTTAGTGTTCTCAAACTTGTAGTAAATGACCTTTTTAAAAATTTGACTGGAGTGAGAGAACAGTCATAATTGTGTTCAAATAACAAATGCTTCTTTTAATTCCTGAAGACATAGCATCTTTCAGATAGAATCTGATTGAATTATATTTAGGAACCAAGCAGTTGCCTGGATTTCCACTGTTACTGTTGTAGACTGGAATTCAGCAAACCTCACACACCTCCTTTGTTGGCAGCAAAGTGTGGCGGCTGCAGTGGGAATCAGCCAGGACTGGCTCCTGGCACGCCTTCAGGACAGTCTCTTTCACATGCATCTGCCCTGTGTTTAACAAGACCCCAAATCCCTCCTTAGTGGTCCAGAACTGTCCCTGCTCCTCCGTGACCTTGGCGTCTCCAGTGTCCTGCCCTCTTGAATTTCGCATGCCATTTGCTGCATTTGGGGCCATGGCAGGAGTGTTGTCCCAAGAAAGGTCACCTTGTAGTAGAACCACTTTTGTACTGGCTGTAGGTGTTCTTGTAATTTTAACGGGACTTTGCTTTTAAAAGGCACTTAGTTATTTGGATAAAGTGTGCTCTATAGTAGACCAGAGAATAGTTCTAATAGTGATTTGTGGCAAGCCACCAAGGAAACATTCTCTGGGTCCTCTCCTGGAGAACCACCAAGAGCTTCCTCAGACTTCCCAGATTGGGGACACCATGGGGTGTGAGGGGTCCTGGTGCTCCTGGCTACTAAGGGTTGTGGGTCACCACTTGGACCTCCCGCTCTGGCACCTAAGGAGGCACAAGGGAAGGTAAATCACTAAGCTATCTCATGAGCCCAAGCTTCACTTCAACGCACAGTATGATACTGCTTGCCAGGTACTGCCCATGTCAGGTGGTGCCTCCTGTGTGGGGTGTGTCTAGGAAGTGGTGCCGTGTTAGCTAACTGGAGCACTTATATCTTAAATGTGGGACTACAGAGATTGATTTTTGCCTACAAGAGATTGCCTTTAAAGTTAAGTCTGATCAGACATTTTTCATAAGCGCTAGATATACTTGGAAGCATGCCTGGCATTGAAAATCTTGCTTTTGTGTCCACCTTATGTATGTCAGTGTTCTGAGGACATGCCAGTTGTGCAGTAAGAGTGCATCTTCCTGAGTTGACATAGCCAACACAAAAAGGAGCTTCCTTGACGGCACAGTTTCTGTAATGCAGCAGACCCCTGGCTTTTAAAAGCTAAATTAAGCCTTTTCTACATTTGCAAACTGCTTGATCATTAATAGTTTTATGTAGTTTTAGAATGAGAACTGTCTTTTAAGAGTTTTATTCAGTTCTCGAGTTTTAGATGAGAATACAAATGCAGACTTCTGCATTGTGCTGGGTGCCTTCCCAAATGAAGCATCTTTCTGGCCCTGAGGTCAAAAATGAGAGGCCTTCTTGGGCAGTAGTCAGTCCTGGTTTTGACTCTGCCTCTGGGGGAAGGAAGCTGGGAGGGTTTCTTTTGAGCCAATCCTAGGTGGATTTCCATCATAAATAGACATCATCTAATGTGTACTAGAATCTTCTCAACAAATACCTGCTTTGGCAACCAAAGTAAAAGGTAAGGATGCTTTACAAAATGTTCCATAAACTTTGGGAGTGATAAGATGGGCAGGGAAAGTGCTTCTTTTCCAAAACCTAAATGGAATCAAAATTGATAACTTTGGAAGAGACATTTCAGATGCTTTTTCTCAGATGCAATGTGGAATATTTAAACAGTTCCTTTGGCAATGGTAATAGGTATGGTGGGAGAAAGGAGTTAAGTCCAGATCCAGTGTTTAAATTGTAAGAGACCCAATTTTAATTTCATGATTTATGAAGTACAGTTTTAAAAAGTAAATAATTGCAACCTGGATGCCCCTATCCAGCTGAGCACTTCCTCTTTACAGGTGCTAAGATTAAAGAAATGAAAGCATTATTATCAAATACATTCCAAGGTTCTGGGGCAACTAGACTATCAGCCAAGTTGTTAAATATCCTTGCAGATACTTTATGGAAACAAGGCTCTACAAAGATTGCATATTTGCAGAGAAAGATAAATTCTAGGCTGTTTGCAATAACATGCTTCCCACATTAAAGAATTTCTTTACTAAAATATGAGAGCCCCTGGTCTGTTTCTTTTTTATCCTGCTCTATTAATGAGAAACTCTACATTAGCAGAAGACACGGATCTTCTAAATGGAACAGTTTCAGAGCGAGTCCCCAGTGCACTGCATAGGGCTCTAGCTAAGAGTAATTTATGCCTTAAAATGGCATTGTGCCTCAGCTCATCTTTTTATTTTGAATGTCCCCAAACTCCCTTTGCCATGGGCTCTTCTGGCCCTCTAGTGGAGGTCTGTTCTCATGTCCCACTTCCACTCTATAGCCACTCTAATTCTTAATTTTTTTTTTTTTTTTTTTTTTTTTTTTGCTTTCTTTGTAATGCCTTTTCTGGCTAGAGAATGGGCTTTGTTCATTGATGTGGGCACTTTTCTAGGCACTGAGGTCAGGGAATGAACCTACGAAGATTCCTGCTTTTATGAAGGTTTGGGGGAGGTGGGGGGGCGTCCTCATGTCTTATGAGTGTGGGTACTTAAAGATATCTGCATTGTATCCCCGGAGAAGTCTGTCTTGTTACAAAGGTGTTTGTAGTTTTGTCACAGTAGCCGGCACCAGTTCTCAGGAAACTACCTGAGTTGGCTTATCAGGTGCCAGAGAGTGCGGAAGGAGGGAAGCTGATCCCACGCTGAGTGCAGGTTCCTCATCTCTGAAATGACCAACCGAGGACGCCCTGAAGGTTGTGCGGCTTTGTCCACTGGCCTGGAACACCCGCCCCACTCCCTGCCTCCTTTTTTTAAAACAGTCTGGTTGCCACCAATGCCTTTAAGGTACCTTGTTTCATAGTGAAGATAGAACCTTCCTGTCAGATTTGGGGCCTGTGGAGGATTAAAAGCTTTGAGTGGAAAAGACAAATCCACGGTTTAATTCCTCTGGTTTTAAAGCACCTCTCTGTAGGGTGCTTTTGGCCTCGTACCTGTGCAGATGTCTCTTTTTCCCCAACTACGCAACTCACACTGTGTGTTTCTATTTCTCCTGCACACTAATTGAGAACTCGTTTTTCTCATAAGGGCTATACGTTATCATCGTTGGTTTCAGCAGTTTGGAGAGTAGTCTGGAACTGGTGTGCTCCTTCCTATATTGAACATGACTCATAGACCTCTATGAGGAATTAAAGCTGCAAAGTTAGTTTCTCTGTTTGTAAATGTTTGAGAGAAATGTTTATTTGAAAGAAAGCACTGAAAGTTGTTACTTATTTGCTGTATATATTCTTTGGCCCAGAAATAATCCTAGGTATTTAAGAGCAAGGAACCAGAAAAGCACACAAAGGTGCATTTTTAAGGATGTTTAGTTATGGTATTCGTGATGGGGAGGAGAACTGAAGCAACCCGCACGGTAGTGGGGAATTTGGTGGTGGGAGCATTATAATGCAGCCGTACAGTGGATTATCATTCAACTTGAAAGATTCTTTTGAACTTAGTTGATGCGATTCATTCATGCCATGGTAAATTAATAAAAGCAAGGTAGAAAAATGATTTTTGGATCCATTTGTATAAAAATACATGTTTATTAAGACTTGGAAGCCATAGATCAAATGAGAGTGGCTGCTCCGGAGAGGCAGGGATTACTGGGGTTTGCCCGGCAAGGTGTTTCTGCACAGAGTGCAGTGCTCGGAGGAAAAGGGGTTAAATGTGCACCTTAGCTGTTCTCCAAGATACAGAGGAGGATAATTTTGTAAGAAATGTGCATATATATATATATATATATATGTATGTATATATATATCCCACTTCAGCTCCAAATATCTTGGAACTAAGATGTAATGTTTGCTTCCATGTTTACTGTGTCTTGGTGCAGAGGGCCGGTGACAACGTTGAGAGACCTGTCTTGAGTCTCGGCTTTTATCTTATTTCCTGTTACTGAAATTATTGATTTTTTTCTTTGATTTGAGGATCATTTTAATGATTTCTATGATATTATTCAAGAATTGTCTTAGTATTTACTTATGAAAAAGAACTGAAGGAATGTTTTTGGGCATAATAGAGATTATGCTGAATTTTTAAAAATATTTAGAAATGTATCTGGGTTGTATAACTGCTTTTATGTTCTCCAAATAACAGTCGTAAATGAGATAGGTATCTGAAATTCCTTGACTTGTGCTTGAAACTGCATACTCCAGGAAATATTTTTTATTGTGGAAAAGTAAGTTTCTTGGTAGTGTACCAAGTCCATTAGTAATCTGTAGATAATTATTTGGCAGTGCTGGAGTATTCAGTGCTCTGACAAAAGGGAATGAGAAACATTTGTCTTGAAGTCATGGTGCATGTACGGGGAGTCTGAAAGTGCCTTTGTTTTCTGTGCAGCTCAAAGCTCGGATTACTTGATGTCACTAGTGAACGGCGAGACAGAAGATGATGCTGACAAAATGCACGTCGATAGAGAGTTTGCTGTCGTAACAGGTGGGAGTGGACAGTTTCCCGTTAGCTTCAACAACGGTCCAATGGTCGAAGACACCAAACCACAGGAAGGTGGTTCTGTTGGACCAAAAGAAATAGAAATATATACTGTTTCAGCAATGCAGACCCCTTGTCGTTGCAAGAATCAGTATGCGTATTATTTCTAACATAAATTCAAATGATTTTTGCACTTTGTTGTCCAGCTTTTTAAAGACTGTTACACTATAATTTGCATATCTTGGGCAAGTTTGTAGAATCAAGGATAAGTGGTTTTGGTGCATTATATGGATATGAAAACTACAAGTGCAATCTTCCTATTTTGGTTTGAAGCTTTTGCTTAATGTGCCTTGTTTAATTTTAATGAGGTTTCGCGTTTTTAATTTTCTGACATAGGACCTTTAGGCGAATATACACAACGAACATCTATTGCTAGTAACTTCAAAGCAATAAACAGCAAGAAGGATGACTTGCTGTGAATGCTGAAGACTAGGAAGTGTTGTGGGTTTGACTCATAACAGTCACGCCAATTTGGGATCTTCCACTCGACCCTGGTTGCTTTGTTCCTGTGGCATTCACTCTTTAGTAAGATGCTGAACACCGTGTCTCACAAAGCACGTTTTATATGTGAACATTTTTAGTCTATTAAAACAGTTGATAGTCATTTTCGGTTTTTAAAAGGCAAAGGCTCAGTTTCATTTAGCATTTAGAGTAAAGAGTTATCCATTTACTTAGCTTTTTCTACTGTTCTTTTATTTAGGTGACCATGAAAACATTTTAGCCATTCTCTTAACACGTTAATATATTTGGAAATAGATACTGATTTTTAAAAACTTTATTATTGTGTCTTTGTACTAAAGTCTTCACTGGGGATAAAAGATTATGTATTTTTTCCCAGACATACATGAAAAAAGTTATGTCTGTTCACTAAAATGAAAAGAGAATGTGTACATCTTTCTAAAAGGTACAGAATTGTTATGAGTGTAAGTCACCTTTTTGCCAAATTATTAAATGAAATGAGTAGATTTTCCAAGGGAAATTCTGAGGGGAGAGTACATTTAAAGACCTTGGCTAAAGATAAATAACAAAACTCAAAGCAAGCTTTTTTTAAAAAATGGCATTGTTCTGTGCTGTTTGAAAGGCAGGAGTTTAATCACTCTTTAATCTTCAAACATTAATTCCCTAGGTTTTCAGGTTAAGTTTAATACCAAGCTTGAACGTTACGTTGAAAAAGCCATGCTTTGCTTCAGACCCAGTTCATCCCGTGTAATGGGTGCTGAGTAACCTTCCCCATGCTCCCATCGTTTCATTCTAACATCTGACTGAACAAACAAAATATGCGACGTTGCTGGACATGGCTAGCAGTAGACGGGCACGTGGGCGAGAGGGCGGCGTGAGTCCCGAAGGCAGCTTGGACAGACTGAAGGACAGTTGGAGACAGGCGGCCTGCGGACGCGGTCCCGGCCGGCAGCTGTCTTTGCCGGTCTCTAGGGTGTCTGCTGCCTTCGTGCTCAGTTTTATTAGATTTGCTGTAATGATAGGAAGTTAGCAGCTAGCCTTGATTTTGAGATTGCGTAATGGAACTAATTTACTTTGACTAGACACTAGGGGAAATCAGCGTCCACGCACAGTGAGCGTGAAACAGGAAAGAGTCTAGTCAGCGCAGGTTTTGGAGGCAGCGTGTTTACTTTTGCAGTCCCCATCACCTGAGAATAGAAGCTCTGTCTCCATTAGCAGTGTCCCAGTTGTCTGAATGACTCAAGGTTGCCGCCGAAGTCATGACTTTATCACCCAGGAAAAGTTATTTGTACTTTATTTTTGAAAAAACAATTTAAATATGTCCCTGACAACAACTTGTCTTATTTCCTTTTATTTTACTTCATGTTTAGTTCTTGAAACACTTGTTCTTTAGCTTTGAGTTTTGACTAAATAGAAAAGCGATCAGTTAATTTGAAAAAAAAAATCCCTAATCCTCTGAAGAATTTGTCGCAGTTATTAAACTATGTCACTTAACTTGCCAGAAAATTCATGATTAATGGAATGTCGAGAAGACGTTTTCGTCCCTGAACAAGCCGTGACTGCCTGTTGGCAGGAAGGTTTGCAGGACGCCCAGAAACCTCTGTGCAGGTGCGGATCAGAGGTCTGTAGCTGGCGAAGCGGCAAGTCAGCCCTTCGAGGGGAGACTCACCCCGTGAGCAGCTCTCCCTCGGAAGGTTGTAGAGCTCAGCTCCTCCGTCTTTGACACATTCCTTGCCTAATAGTGCACAGCGTTGGGTTCAGATTTAATATCACCAAGCAAGACGCAGTTTCGGGTCACTCTCTATACTGTTCTGTGAATTTCTGTGAACGTGAATATTAATTCTCGAGTTTCATTATACAGAGAAATATGCGTAATTTGCCTGTTCCCACGTGCCCAAACGTTTTGTGATTGACCTTTTTTCCTGTAAGACATCTTCCTCTTACTGGATGTCTCTATATGCAGATTAAACTACCAACTCTTTCCCAACATTGGTGGTTTTGAAAGTAGCCTGGTAAAGTGGAAGCTTGGATATCATAGTCACTGTAACGGCCGAACTGAGAAGAAACTCTTCAGAACTGTGCTCTTGGCCCAAGACTGTGTGCATGTGAATCATCATTATTCACAGTTCCTTCCTGTAGTTGCCACTCCCTGCGCTCTGCCAGTGCTGCTTGTGGCATTTTGCAGAAGGACTGTGTAGATTTGAGTGTTACTATGAAAAAGTGGTTCCTTTTCATATTCCTGGGTGTGCCTCCCTGACCGAGGTGGGGCGCTTTAAGAAGCGTGCGTGACGGTCTCACCTGCTCCACGGGGCTTCCTTAATTCACCTGCTTCACCGACTGCTTTTCTTTTTTTCCTTGAAAGCTGGGGAAGTTTTGTGTTTTGTTTTAACCCTTTGTGGGAATCCTTACATTCAGTTCTGATGGACTTTTTCAGGGGTGATTTTAAAAACTCCTCTCCGAGAGTAGTCTTAAAATGAGAACAGGTTTTTGATGGCTATTCAGTACTCTTGGTATTTTTCATGCAGTATATTTGTGAACTCGAGTTTTTAAATTTGGCTCCACAGTGCTGCTGAGATTCACCAGTGTTTCCTGTCTTACCAGGCAGATGTTACTGTTGTGTTTTATTTTAAATCTACCTGTGCACAGTTTTTACTTTGGAAAAGGAACTGGTTTGTTGTAGAGAGAAAAGAAAAGAAGCTAATCTTTTAAAATTGTAACAGCAGTGAAACATTTTGTAGTCTCTCATCCCCTCTGGTTCTGAATTTTGGTGACAGGTGTATTTCTTAATGCAGATATGAAAAACAGTAGCTCCGTATCGAATACATTGACAAATGGATGTGTCGTCAATGGACATTTGGACTTCCCCTCCACGACACAGCTCAATGGGATGGAGAGCAGGAATGACCACTGCTTAACAGGATCTAATGGAATTAGCAATGGATTAGTTCCAGGCCGGCCGTTTCCAAGTAGCCAGGGCTCTCTCTGTGTTAACGGGACCGAGGAGCCAGAAAAGACCATGAGCGTTAGCCCCGAGATGTGTGGCTCTCTGCACCTGAACGGGAGCCCGAGCAGCTGCGTAGCCAGTAGACCTTCCTGGGTGGAAGACGCGGGGGAGCACTTGCACTATGGACATTACCACGGGTTTGGGGACACTGCTGAGAGTATCCCTGAGCTCAGCAGTGTGCTAGAGCATTCCAATTCCGTGAAGGTGGAGGAGAGGTACGACAGCGCCGTGCTGGGTGCCATGTGCCTGCACCACGGCTCCTGAGGCCAGCGCCTGCCTGTCCGGACACTCCATCCTTCCCAGTACCCGACTTGGAATGCTCACGTAGCGTCAGCTTGAAGGAATGCCACGACTTGTTTTGTTTTTTATGCTCTAAGTTTCTGAAAAGGTGGCTTGTCTTGGATGAGTTCCCCGGGATTCCTGGCGTGCACGAGCAGGGCTGACTGAGTGCATAGGTGTTTCTGCCACGGGGTAGTGGGCCTCTTACACAATGCACTTTTGGAATTTCATTTTTCTGCTGCCAATCTCAATATTTCCTTTTATATGCTATCACCAAAAATTGCCGTTTTTCCTTTTGTCAAATTATATCTGATCAAGATAAATTGGAGGCAGTAAATGAGGTGCCTGGTAATTTAACTCTTTGCACATGGGCACCATTTTGAAAAGCTTGATTTTCCTCTTTCCTGTAGAATTTTTGACAAGACGGCGGTTTCCCTATGCAAAGTGTAGCCTTACAAAGATTTCTGGCAGCGATTTGTATGAAGAAAGAACGCTTGTCTTTTTCAGTCTCTTCAGTGAAACTTTGCAACTTGCCGTGTTGTGAGGGTTTTACTTGTCGACACACAGCGTGGTCTCCCTTCGGCGGTGTGGCTCCTGCCCTGGGTTTCATGGAAAACACGCACAGCCGGGGCCTGGCTTCTGACCTACTGTGTTTTTATTCCACATTTCCTACCTTGTCTCTACAATTTTTACCACAGGTAACGGTTTCCTTTATATGTAATGGAAGTTACTATTTGTAGGAACTGTCAGGTCAAAATATTTAACTGACTATTCTGACTTATATTCTCTTTTTTTCCTTGTTTTTGGTTTTTGGGGGTTTCTGCTTTAAAATATATACCACTATGTGTATCCAGTTAACTGAGAGAATTTTGACTCTCTCTTAATAAAACCGCGTTAAGTTTATGGTTTTATAGAAATTAGCTTTTGTTTAGGCAACTAGTGGTTACACTGTGCAAATATTGTAATGAATTTTTACTTTTCTGATTTTTGTAATAAAAATTGGTGAAGATAAAGAAAACATCCAGTGAACAAACCAATGTTCTAAGAGTGTTACTAACATTTTGTTTTTAAATTGTTTGTGAATTGAATAAAAAACTCTCACACTCGATTTGTTCCTGGGGTGTGATTTCTTTCTGGGGCGTGAGGGGCGCGTGGTACCCTTGGAAGGAACGGGAAGCGGGGTAGAAGGTTAGTGTCGCCTGTGATTTTACTTGTCAGATTTTACTCTACCTTCAGATTCTCCCCGGGTAGTATTTGGTTCGTTCATCTTCTCTAGTTTTAGGAACAATTTATCTCGCTGGATCTTTTGGGGGGGTATACATGCTGTCAGCTAACAACATTGTCCCTGCACATTTCTTTTTATAAAAAACAACAACCATAATTAGCTGAACTTTGAGCCAGCCAATATTAATGAATGTAAACCTTTTAAAGGAATAAATTATAATTAGTAAATAGTGACAGAATAGCCATTCTGGCATGCCTACTTGTGTTCTTCAGTACACTTGTTGCTTTATGCTTGTTATCCTAAAACTTAATAGACCAAAATGAGGAGGGAGCATTAGGCTTTGGAGTGTCCAAAAATGGCTCTGTGATGAGAAGGAAAGAATCATGCGGTGCCCAGGGCAGGCATCAGTAATCGAGCTCTGAACACAGGTGGCCTGGGAAACCTTTTTTAGCAGACCGCTCTGAGAAGCCACCCACGTTGCTCTGGGTGTGCAGGAAGGGTGAGGCCTAATGCCATTCCTTGCTGGGACTATTGTGTAGAGTATTTCACAGACTTCATAGTGAATTAGTATTTGCTGGAAAACATTAAGTGAATCTCTTAAATACGCTGAGGATCAGAACATTTGGTTGGTCTTGGGAATTGGACAGCGTGTGACTGCTTCTTGGGAGTAAAAACAGTGCACAGGATCTATAGTAGGGCCACGTGCTTACTGGAGTGGTGATGGAGACAGTTTGTCCTGGACACTAGGCTGCTAAGTTCCTGTTTAGAGATACATAAGAAAGTCGTCGTTATGGAATCGTATCTTGCCTGGAATTGGCTTCAGAGTAATACAGGAGGGGAAAGTGAATGAAGATAAAGCTCAGGCGAGATCAGGTGAGAGTTGATGTCGACGCTGGAACTCGATTCGTTATTCTGTCTACTTTGTGTATATCTGGGAGAAAAATGTTTTCATTAGAACTTTACGGAAAAAAAGAATTTTGTAATCCTTTAAAAAGTTGTGGACATTTCAACGTTGATCAAGAATAAGCTTAAGTTTCACTCTGCCTAACTCACAAAACGAAGTTCATGCTGAACTATTCCGGTAGCTCACTGGCTCCTCACTCTTTTGGTCTGAAGACTATTTTAGGTGCTTATATTCTTAAATACTAGTAGCAAACAGTTGGAAAATGAAATAAAAAATAAGCCCATTTACAGTAACACCCAAACCATGAAGTACATAGGAATATATCTTAAAAGGTGTTGAAGGGGCCGGCTCCGTGGCCGAGTGGTTCAGTTTGCGCGCTTCGCTGCAGCGGCCCAGGGTTTGGATCCTGGGCGCGGACATGGCACCGCTCTTCAGGCTATGTTGAGGCGGCGTCCCACATCCCACAACTAGAAGGACCTGCAACTAAGATATACAACTGTGTACAGGGGGAGTTTGGGGAGATAAAGCAAAAAAAAAAAAAAGATTGGCAACAGTTGTTAGCCCAGGTGCCAATCTTTAAAAAAAAAAAAAAGATTCTTAATTATTTAAAAAAAAAAAGTGTTCAAGACCACTGTAGTGAAAACTGCCATACATTGCTGAGAGAAAGAAGGCCTACATGAATGTTGTAGCTGAAGTACTGAAGAAAATCTGGCCTCGTACAGATACGTAATTGAGAAAGGGAGGTGTGTGTTAATAGCCTTTGCAACAGTTGTGGGTATTTGATACAACAACAACACTCTGCAGGGTTAGTTTCCCTTTTTTTCCTTTGGTTAGGAAGATTGGCCCTGAGCTAGCATCCCTTGCCAATCCTTCTCTTTTTTTGTCTGAGGAAGATTCATCCTGAACTAACATCTGTGCCATTCTTGCTCTATTTTATATGTGGGTCACCACCACAGTGTGGCTTGATGAGTAGTGTAGGTTCACACCCAGTACTGGAACTTGAGAACTAGGGCCGACAGAGCAGAGCATGCTGAACTTTAACCACTGCACCACCAGGCCGGCCCCAGGGGTAGTTTCTTAAAGGTTGGTCGCAATATTGAATCAGAAACCAGTATCAATGAATTTTTTTTTTTTTTAAGATTTTATTTTTTCCTTTTTCTCCCCAAAGCCCCCCAGTACATAGTTGTATATTCTTCGTTGTGGGTCCTTCTAGTTGTGGCATGTGGGACGCTGCCTCAGCCTGGTTTGATGAGCAGTGCCATGTCCGCACCCAGGATTCGAACCAACGAAACACTGGGCCACCTGCAGCGGAGCGTGCGAACTTAACCACTCGGCCACGGGGCCAGCCCCTCAATGAATTTCTTGTCCTCAGTTACTTTAAATCTGTTTACCTTGCACTTTGAATGGACCTCTTACCCATGCCTGGTTTTACAAGATCAGGCACTAGCTAGTTAGAAAATATTCTTTAACTAGTTCTGCAGACCTTATAAATGCTGAGCATTTCATTATTTAGTGTTAAATTTCGCATTATCGCTAACAATCTCATAAAAGATGAAGCCGTCAAGGGCAAGGTGGTGGATAGAAGTTGTGCAACGTTCTGATTTTTGCTGGAAGGTTCAAATTTTATCATTGGCCACAAATATGGTCAGTTTCCCGTGAAGTGGCAGGGTCACTTAGTTAATTTTTAAAAATTATGTCTGCTAAACAAGGAAGTCTTACATAGTTTGTCAATCATTCTTTCAAATAAAAATATTTCCAGAAACAAAGCAGCTGGTTACATTGTAACACAGCCAGCCAGACGGGGCTTTTCCTGGAGACAACCGTCATGCTTGGATGTGTGACAGAAACGTGGATGCACGCTTTCCGTTTCATCACACGAAATATGTACTCGGGTTGAGGTTTAATAAAAGTAGTAGTTTGTACGGCATCAAGGGCATTCTCTAGTGAATGGCTTTTGTTTACCTGGGTGCACAGCAGTGAGGAATGTAAAGGTAAGCAGGACGGTGGTTGCTGAGGTTTGGCCATTAAGCCGTTTGGCCATCGCCTGTGACCTCACTGCCAGTGTCAGCTCGGGGGAGAAGTCACGGCACATCCCGGTGATAGGGTTGTGACCTCCTGGGTCCCCTGAAACGGTCCTGGGGCCCTCGGGTCTGCAGAACACAGCTAGAGAAGTGCATGATGGCCTTTGGTGTTTGGCCACGAGATCTCAGCCACTAAGTGATGAACTCTGGGATTCTAGAGGGGTGCTCATCGAAGTCCTCTTCCAGCTTTCCTCAAGATTGGGGTTTTTTAACGGGGACAACAGAATGAGGGGAGACTGATTGGAGACAGAAACATGGAAAACTTTTCTTTGAAGAGTTTTCCTGAAGGGGAAGCCAGGAAATAGGCCATAGGGAGAAGGGGTCATGTCGCCAGAGACTTTGAAGATGGGAAGAGAGGAAGAGGGGGCACTGGGGGTGCAGGTGAGAGACGGGCCTTCCGAGGAGGACGTGAGACGGGGCGGGTCCTCCCCACGAGGGCCGAGTGCTGGGGGTGCGAGTGGGGAAGCGCTCTGCCCTCTGTGGCTCCCGTTTCCCCCAGGAAATTGTGAGCCACCAGCTGAGTGGCTGTGGGAGAAGGCGGTGGCAAGGTGACCGCCATCTGGGACAGTGAGTGAGCAGCCTGGGCCTGAGGTATGGTTCCCTGGTTCTGGAGGTCCTGGCATCACAACGTTGGTGACTGCAACTCAAAGTGATACTGAGCAGAAGGGTTGCGTTTCCATTGGACTCAGTCCGCTTTGTGGTTCCCTGAGCAAATACAACAGAGCCGAGAGGGCCAAGAGGGTGGGGAGAGTGACCGGGACAGCACGGCGTCGCCTGGCCGAGGGGGAGGACAAGGGCGGGGAGCGGGGAACAGAAGGCTGGCGGGCTCCGGTGGAACCGATGATGGAGAGGGAGGGGCTGGAAAGCAGGGGCCGGGACTAGGGGCTGTTTGTGGGCAGGGTCGTGAGGGGTGTGTGGCTAGTCGTGGCAGCGCCGAGGTCTGTGGGAAGGCCAAGGGGTGGTGATGAGGGGCTCGGGGAACAAATTGTTGTGGACAGTGACAGCCCAAGTTACCCCCTGAGTAACCTGGAGAGTGAGTGAGCCAGGCATGCAAGCCCCAGGCCCCAGGGGAAGGGCCCAGGGCGGGCACGTCACTGCACAAGGAGGGGCAGGTGTGTGGTCAGAGGGAGATGCGGGGCGGACGGTGTCTGGTGATGAGGGAGCAAGAATGATCCGGAAGCAGTACAGGGGCTAAGGGGCCGCCTCCAGGCCCTGCATCGGGAGATGGGGGAGGCAGCATGAGGAGAGAAGCACAGCGCACAGCTCGGGGTCCCGGAGCGCCCAGAGGAGGCGAGGCCAGCAAGGGGGTGTCGGAGTTGAATGGGTTGGGGTTGGAGTCTAAGGGGGAGCGACGGCCATTGGGAAGAACTGGAAAAAAATGGTAAGGCTTAAAGATAAGTATTTACCAGACTTCCTCTTAATGATACACCGAAATGACTTGAATTGTATTGTAAGAAACAATACAATTCAAACAACCGATTCGACTCGAGTCAGTGGGACATTTATGAGGTCTTATTTTTCTGTTAGAAGTAATGCAGGAATGAACATTTTTCTGTCAGCTTCTCTTTGGTTTTGTTTAAAGATTTTGTAGGATAGGGAACTAAGATTTGACTAGGTCTTAAAAACCATCCTGAGGGGCTGGCCCTGTGACCCAGTGGTTAAGTTCAGCACACTCTGCTTTGGCAGCCCAGGTTCAGTTCCTCGGTATGGACCTACACCACTCATCAGTGGCCATGCTATGGTGGCAACCCACATGCAACATAGAGGAAGATTGGCACAGATGTTAGCTCAAGACCAATCTTCCTCAGCAAAAAAAAAAAAAAGCCATCCTGAAAGAGAGACTTTGAATAACCCCTTTGCTGGATAATTTGAAGTTAGGAATTCAAGATTTGGTGGTG